AGCCACTGTGAGCGGCCGTCCAGAGGCCGGCGACTGATCTGCCTCACCCAGGAAGAGCGCAATGATGATGCCAACATGGGCCAGTGAAGCAACGTCCTCCACAACTAGACTGAAAAACAAAAGGACGGCAACTTGTCTGTTCCCCTTCCCCGATTCCCCAACACTGTTTCCCTCCCCCAACTCCCCAATAAAATCTTAAAAAAAAAAAAATCATGTTGTATACCTTAAATATATACAATTTTTTGTCAATTATACCTCAATCAAGCTGAAAACAAAGAATTTAGGAGTGAAATGTTATGATATCTGTCACCCACCTTCAAATGGTTTGACAAAAGGGTAGTAGTGTATGTGTGTGCAGAAAGATATGGAGATGTGACCAGTTGTTAACAGCTGATGAATCGTGGTAATGAAGTAACCAGTTTTTCACTGTAATATGCTTTCAGCTTTGAGTCTTTTAACTTGTCTGCTGTGAGTTTAAAAATACTTCTGGGAGATATGGAAGCAGTATGTAAACTTTCCTGTTTTCTCTAAAAAGAGGTTCATTAAGCAAAAGAAAACATCAGCCCACCCCCGACTACATTACTAAATTCCAAAATAGTGACATTTGATATTAATATTTTAAATAATTAAAAAAAATAAAACCATGCACTTAGCCTTCCCCTTAGTCTCTAATGTAACACAAGGCAGTTACTGACTTCAAGATGTCTTGAGATAAGGAATTTGTGTTTTATCAACTCATTCTTCTATTTTAGTGTTTAGATTGTGTTTTATAATTATCTTTGTACTTATATTTCCCTCTCATTAAACTGTAAACTCTTAAAGGACAGAGGGTGTGTTGTATTTATTATTGTATCAAACATAATATCTGACATACTAGCTTAATATTAGCTTAAACTGTGAAATATTAGCTTAAATAAGAAAAATTGGTAATACTTTTTTAAATGAAGTGATTGCTTTCAATTATTTCTCAAACATTTACTCTGGAAATTCACTTAAGTTCAATGATTGAAACACAGAAATGGTCATTCCACCATAATCTGTAACATTAACATTTTAGAAATAAATATATAACATTAGGAAAACAGTAACACAAATTATAGTATACCGTATAATTCAGCCATTAATAATAGTATCAAAGTATTTAATGGCATAGGGAAAATGTAAAAAAAGAAAGATTGAAAATGAGATATATGATCTTAATTATGTTTAAAATGTATTAAAAATACATTAAAAAGGGATTAGAAGAAATTAATAGTTCTTTATAAAATTGTATTATGATCTATTTTTTCTTTTTTCATACACCTTCTGTAACTTCAAAAATTTCTGTAAGTAGCAAGTACTATCGTTTTAACTGGAAAAACTTTAATTAAAAAAAATTCACTTAAATACCTTTTTCAAAACTGCATTCTTTCATATGATATTACATAAAGAAACTAATTCAGTGTCCATTTGTAATGATTTAACTCATGAAGGCTCTTTAATTTCTATAACCCTGCTAATTATAAATATTTTCATAGACTAAGTGCTTAATAACTGAAAAGTTAAAACATGAATAAAATGAAAAATTCACTATCAAATGACAGAACAACACAATAATACCATATAGTACCCAAACTAAAGATTTAGATACTACATAAACTCCAGAATTATAACCTTCAAATATCTTGTTTAAATGACAAACTCTAAAATCCATTACAAGCTTTCTTCAAGGTAGCACAAACTTCTATGTATTTTTCAGGGAGTTCTTTTTTTACCTCTCTAGAAACAAAAAGCTACATACATGTATCTCTGCCTCTATACATCTTGCTCTCCATTCTTCCATAAACTGTCAGCTACTATTTCTGAGAGTTAAATCCAAAACTTCCTTGCTTCAAATATTTTTTATGAGGAAGCAGCAGTTAGTTATGTGGAAAGTATTTTTCCTGTTTTTACAATATTTTTCATAATCAACTAAATATGTACCTTCTTCCATTAGCCCTCGGATCTGTTCATCTTTCTCTTTCAGAAGGTCTGAAGTTTCACTACTATTTAATCTAGTCGCAAGTTCTTCTTTTATACTTTTGATTTCCTAATTCAAAGAAAAAAGAATGTAAATATCATAAAGAATTATTTCCATTTTGGGCACTTTTTCAATTTTGTGCCATTTGAAAGAAGTCATTAGTAACCACATTCTTGACAGGAATCCATAAGTTTTGTTCTGTTAATCTGAATTTATTACCTTGGTTAATTAGGACTAAGGAAACAGCTTTGAAAACAATATAGAAAACCTGGATTCAGATACAAACAGGCTTTAATATGTAAATGTAAATGAGAATAAGTTTAATTTCAATAACCCTTCTTAAGTATCTCTACATACATTTTCTACAAGCATTATATTTGGAACAACATTTCAAACAGTACATGTCTCATTTTTCACTGTATTTCTTTTCCTCATTCAAACTCATTGCACTTATTAGCGTTTTGTGAAATGCGAGGGAAAACAATTATACACAGTTTGACCTATTTTAATAAAGCAGTGATTCAGCAGAAGCACGTCAAGATAGTTTGTCTTTTAAAACTGTAATGGGATGCACCCCTATATTTATTGCAGTGCTATTTACAATAGCCAAGACTTGGAAACAACCAAAATGCCCATCGGTAGACGACTGGATTAAGAAACTATGGTACATTGGGCCGGCCGAGTGGCACGTTGGTTAAGAGCTGGCTTGGGACGCCAGAGGGAGGGCCCTGGTTCGGATCCCACACATGAGGGCCAGTGACACTGCCCTCTACAGCTAAGATGCTGAACAACAGCTCAGCCTGGAGCTGGGCGGCTGTGAGTCGCCAGCAATGGAGATGGCTGCAGCCCCTGCTGCAGTGGGTTGCCATGGGATACCGTGTATAGCCAGCAGCCAGCATGAGTGGCCAGCAGCCGCAGTGAGCGGCCATCCACAAGCCGGTGACTGATCTGCCTTGCCTGGGAAGAGGGTAATGATGGTACCAACTTGGGCCAGTGAAGCAATGTCCTCCACAACTAGACTGAAGAACAAAAGGACAGCAACTTGTCTGTTCCCCTTCCCCCAATTCCCCAAT